CCCCACTCCCCCCCCCCCCCGGCGCTAACTCTGGGCCAACAATGCCGCTTAAAATACAGCCAACCCCCAAAGGTTACATGCATCTTGCGAACAGTGCACTGGCAGTTGTTGCCGCGCCGCCTCTGGGAGCCGGCCAATATGAAAGTTGACCCGCACATGTGCATACGTTGTGATTTCGTGATGAGTGGCTGCAAGCGCATGAGAGGTGAGAAGCGTGTGAAACCTCCAGACCTAGAGATCAGGAGAATGGAACCGTAATGACCCATTGGTGGGGTGCGTACAGATCTGTGGGTGCCCCAGCAAGCAGACAAGCGTAAAGCCCGATGCCGCGCAGTGTAAACGGGCACATTTGAAGCAATAAAAGGGCGTTGTATAAGAAGGTCAAGGGAACGCCATGATGTACGCCCACAGGTTTCTCAGTTGCTCTGCGTTGCGCTCTGGTCCTGTGTGGCCCCTAGAAGTCCGCAAATATCTGTCGGGGAGGGGGGGCATCAAGGAGGCTGGGGTAAGCATGATGATGTGAGTGGCTCCCAGTCAACATGATATGGTGGTTTGTAAGATGTGATTAATGCAGCCCGCCGAAACGCAAGCCTACCTTGGCGCACTCCGCCTCTTCCGGAGGCGTGATCTTGGGCACCACAGGGTCGCCCGCGTGGCTCTCCTCCAGCTCCGCCTTGCGCTTGGAGAAGTCCGTCTCGCGAGGCCGCCGTGGCGGCTCCATCTTGCGTGCTGTCAGGCTCTCCCAATCAAAGCCCTGTTAGGTGGACGGCCGAAAATGCGAAGCAAAAGCGCAAGCTGTGGCGCCAACAGCAGGAAGTTGCGGCCTGCGCCAGAACAAATTGATCATGCAGTCACTAAGCGAACAGCAAGTGCACGTTGGATGCAACCCGTTCAGGCGCATGCGCCGCAAGAGCCCTTGTGTTAGGTGGCAACTGAGGACACGCCTAAACATACCCTGCCACATAGCTCACCGCAAACCAAGGGTGCTTCTTGATGTCGTCGGCGCGGCCCTGCAGCATGCCGATACGCTTGGCTGGCTTGCGCTCCAGCAGGCGCTGGATGAGGTCGCGGCCCTCGGGGCTCATGTACTGCGCAGGCAAGGGGCCAGAGTGGACAAGACAGGCAGCCAAGGTTTGTACAGGCAGTCATGATGGCGTAATTGATCAGCACAGCAAAGCCGCTGCACTGGATGCGCAACAGCAAATGCCGTGGGGAGTGCTCACTGGCGGGAACTTGATGGGCCAGCGCTCGTCCACGATGCGCCGCATCACCTGCAGGGGGTGACAGGCCCCAAGATAAAGATGGAGAACGGGGCAGCTTGAGTGGATGGGTGGAAAGCAACAGCGGTGGCAAGCTGCACAAACAAGTAACCCCTAGGCTGGCAGTGGGGCAGAAGCTCGCCTAGGTACTTACTCTCTGGCCATCAGAATATTCAGCCGTAACCTTGCACACCCTGGCAAGACCTGGCACAGAGTGGGGCAACAGGCCGCCACAGCCCACCTCCATGGGGTCCCCTGTCTTGGGGCTGGAGAAGGGCTGCCGCGCAGTGAGCAGCACGTACATCAGCACCCCCAGCGTCCACCAATCCACACTGTTGTTGTAGCCGCGCCCCAAGACGTTCTCCGGCGCCACGTAGCTACAGAGCAACAATGCAAGGGGCAAGCGCCAGGAAGTGGGGTGGGGGACCCAGCACGCGCAATTATTTGGTCTACCGCACCTGCTGACCCTTGCTGCTGCGCCACAGGGATATTGATGCGGCGCGCAAACCTGACCCTACTCAAAATTTGGCACATGCACAAACCCCCTCATCGATGCATGTGACCCTTGCTTCTCACCCTGGCGTGCCACAGAAGGTGTACGTCCGCCCGCCGCTGGCCGGGTCGATCTGCTTGGCAAAGCCGAAGTCCCCCAGCTTGGCAAAGCCCTGACCAGGCGTGCAGGGCAGGGTATGCGCAACAGATCAGAAACAAATAGCCGACCACATCAAGCTGCCACCGCTAAGACTGCCATATCACCTGAACAACTCGTAAGTCACAACCTCATGTCCCAACTCCACACCCGCTACCCTACCCTTGCCCCAAGGCGCCGCCGACCCCACCTGCCCGTCGATGAGCACGTTCTCTGGCTTGAGGTCACGGTACACGATGCCTGAAGGGAGAGGCGGACAGGAACCCGCGTTCAAGATGTGTAAGCATGGGAGCATCAAAGGGCATGATGGTGCAGGCATGGCATCACTTGCCTGGGATGCAACCTGTTCTTGACCCCTTCATCCGCTCCCTCATACCGTTGTCGTGGAGATATTCCAGGGCCAGCACGATGGAGGCAACATAGAACTTGGCCATGGTCTCGTCCATGCCCTTGGGGGGAGCAACAGCACATCAGCACGGGCCTTAAAGTGTGTGATAGTAAGGCGTTCGAAAGGGCCCGAGGACGAGGACAGAGCATTGCCGAGATAGGCTAGTGGCTGCTCACAATGAGCAAAGGACTTCATGTCAGCAGCAGCAAGATTCAAGCACAGCTGAGTCGATGCACCGTCGCCCAGACGCCTTGAAAGACCGTTGAATGGGCTTCTGCAAGTCATGGCCCCGGCGCCCGCAAAAGCCAGGCGCCCACAACTCACAACACACACACGCACACACCTGCCACATCTTAACCTTGGGCGACAGCACGCCCTGCCTCATGCCGCTCTTCTGCGGCACGGGGTGCTTGATGATCTTGGCCTCCGCCACCAGGACGTCCATCAGGTCGCCGCCGCTCATCAGGTCAAACAGGAAGTACAGGTGGTGGGGGTCCTTTGACGGCGGGTGGTGGAAGGGAGGGGGGCGGACAGGAACAAGAGGTCTCTGAGAGGGTGGCATGAAAGCACAGCAGTTGGGGTGGCAGGCAAACCAAAGGGCTGCCGCGCCTAGTAGAGCCAAGCACTTCTAGGCCCAGCCTTGGCCCCCTTCGTTGCCTAAGGTCGCACCTTGAAACTGGCGTACTGCCTGATGCAGAAGCCGTTGGCAGTGTTCTGCAGCCCAGAAAGCGGTGTTTGGTGGGCGGTTTGGCGGATATGTAGAATTGAAAACAACTGTTCCTATCTTTGGTTATAGATGCCCAATCTCCGCCCCATAGCGGATACCGTCACACTTTGAAACCCCACCCAACTAATACAAGAATGACAATACGTCGCCCACCTTGGAGATGTGCTGCTCACAGTAGACATGCTCCGGGCACTGCAGCGCAGCTGTCATGGTCATGCGCTTCAGCGCAAAGGTGCGTTTGGTGCTCTCCTCCGTGACCTCGCTCACACGGCTGAACGCGCCCTCGCCCAACAGCGCCGCCTCCACCAGCGTCAATGAGGAGCCCTCGTTGCCCTTGGAATCGCCGGCACCCTCACTGCTTGCCGCACCAGAGCTGCTGCCCAGCTTTGTGCCGCCGCGCGCCAGCTCTTGCACCTCGTCAAGGTGGCCGCTGGCCACAACCTCGTAAGGAGCGCCACTGGGCCCCCGCGCCCGGATGAAGACGTCTGCGCGTGGACGGCTGGCCGCTGCGGCGCTGCCGCGGGGCTTGAAGCGTGCCATCCGCGCCTTGCTGACCTCCACAGACTTGGCCTCCTGCAGCGGGGTGGCACGTTGCATGGAGGGCGCAGGCGACGCAGTTGGGTTGAGAACAAAGAGCGAACGTGTGTGCCCTACCGGGAGAGGGCAGCAGAGATGCGTGCTGGCGTGGGGAAGTGTCGGACAAGCCGTATGTGCTGGGTTCCGGATGCGCTGTGCACCAGCAGGCCACAAGCATGACCGCCTGGCACCCACCGCCATGATCTTGTCCATGGGCCCCAGGATCTCCACGAAAGTGTCACGGTCCAGGGTGAGGCAGACCGTCTCCTGAACAGCTGCCACAGTCGCGCCACGCGGCTCGTTAGAGAGCAGCGCACGCTCGCCAAAAAAGTCAGCCTTGAACAGGCGATTCACCTCCTTGCCGCCCTGAGTCACCGCAGCCTCGCCACTGAAGAGTGAGTGGTGGCAGATCGGGGAGGGCAGTCACATCGTCACCACCTGGTGGACTGTGACCAGGGGTGTCCAACCCCGGAGGATGCTGGCGAATTCAACCCATAAGACCCACACTTGCATGACCGCGTCACATCACAGCCTCCACCCCAGCCTCACTTCCTGGCTGCCCACCAAGCACAACGCCCCTTGCGCTCAAAAACAAACACTCACCCCTTGACGATGTAGAACTTGTCTCCCAGGTCACCCTCGCGAATTATGACACTGCCAGCCGCGAACGTCTCCTCCACAAAGGCGTCCACCAGCTTGAGCTTGGCGTCGCGGCTCAGGGGGTTCAGCAGCGGGACGCTGTTGAGGAACACCTCGATCTGGCCCAGCTCGCCCTCAGCAAACTCTTGCACGTACTTCCTGAGGGTGGGCGTAGCAGGCGAGAGCAACGCGCGGGGCATATGGGTTCGCATACTGCCTACAGCAGTGGGTCGCTGTACCTGAAGCCCTGCGGTGTGCTGAGAGTGACAGCGGGCAGCAGCGTCTGCCCAAACCCGTGCCCTGCCCAGGCAAGTCTTCCAGCCTGAGCGCGCCTCAACAGTCGAGTCCAGCTCGCAGTCATGCTGCGCCCCACCTGAAGGCGTCACGCTCAAGCACCCAGACCACCGCGGCGGTAGTGGCGGCAACGGTGGCCGTGCGAGGGCAGTTGTACATCAGGGACACCTCGCCAAA